GGCAATAAACAACCCTGCAAGAGGGAGGGGGGAAGCATGTCCAGTTTTTACAGATTGTCCCCACCGCTCTCAGCAGAATTCGAGATTCCCCCACCCAAAAGCTAGTGATTGTTTTGTTTTGTTTGCCCTTTGACCCCTTTGCAGGCGGCATCGAGCCCCTTCATTTTCCAGAGTGGAACCGGCGAAGAGTCAACCCGTGGGAGCAATCCTTCCGTCTACATCTGAGCTTGGACTTGCACAAAAGGGGGGTCAATCGGGAGTCAAGAGGTGAAAAAGGCAATTTCAGGTTGAGTGTTTCTTTGGTTTCTTGGCCGCTGGAGCTCTTGGGCCAAGCCTAGCGCGCAGACCACGTTTTCCTCAGTTTTCAGTCTCGGGTCCAGGCTGAGCTGGCCGCCGCGCGCCCGAAAATTTTGGGGGGATGGATGGTTCAGACACGGAATGGGTCTGTGCGTGTGTGCATAGGTGTCCTTTTTGGTTGGTTTGGTTGAAAAATAGAGGGCGATTCCTGGTTTACCTGGTTGTTTTCATCATCTACCAGGGCCGTCTATTTGCGAAACAAGGACACCTATGTGTACGTGTGTTTGTGGCTATGTTTTTGCGTTTGTGTCTGTAACCCACGTGTGAGCTTCCTTCCATGGAGTTTACCCTCTCAGTCAACCAATGTCTCATGACTGTTGTTGGTCCCATGCTCAAGGCGCAAGTTCAAGAACTTTTCCAGGGATGGGTTTTGGAGAAAGGATTTATGTATACTGTGGTACAAGGTTGTATTGACAGTATAGCTGCGCATCCATACCTACCAGCTACTTTGTCTGTCAGTCATCATGAGATTGCCCGAAGGCTGAGTTGCCGAATGAGCTGCTATTTTATTTTCGGGGCTGGACCATGACAGCGCAAGGACAGCGCAGGAGCTTTCAATTGCCTCAAAGCCAATTCCCTACAAAAACACACTGGTGCAACTGATGAACAATCTGCTCGCACCCCCCGCTGTCGCAAGCTCTTCGGCTTCCGGCTGCAGCATCTCTGCTTCAGTCCCCCCGCCCCCCCCCCAAAAACAAGAGAGAGAAGTAGAGTCAGAGCTTGTCAAAGCCATCCGCACGGTTTACTTGGTACAAGGAAATGGACAACGGCAGACCGAACGGTTATATGGGTATGTGTCGAAGTAGGGGACCTCTTAAATGTTTGTATTGTCTTGCCCCTGTAAACAAACATGAGCAGGGTGGATTCGAGAAATCCATTAGCAGGTACTCCACGTTTGGTTCATGAACTCTGACTCATGGCCAGCTATTCATCCAGGGTTTTGCCTGGAAGAACTTCCTTGCTCCGGACAGAAACCTCTGATTCCACCTGAGAATTCTCGAAACCCGGCGCCATTCAGCGCGGGATCTGGTGGGCCGGGGCCGATGCGGCCTCAGCGGTTGCAACTCGGCGCAGGTGCTGTGGATATTCCCTCGTTTGTTTCTTGAGGGTACCCTTGGCAGGTTAGTTCAACGGGAAACCCAACATATTGCGCTGGCCCTGTTCAGTGGGTATTATTTCATCAACATCCTTCGTGAACTTAGGCTGTGAAGGGAGGATTAGGCCTGATTTGTGAGCTTTAGGCGTGGCTGCATGCACCCGTGGATTTCATTCTCTTGTCCCCCATGACGGCAGACTCAATAACAGTGCTGCAGCACCTGCTGCAAAGGAAACATTGTTCTTAGCGTTTGCCCACAAGTGAAGGCATTCTACACCCACGCGGCCAGTAATACACGACCCATGTTGGCGGGAGATGCTCGTTTCCGTGGTTGCCACGGCGTCAGGCCACGACAGGCTTATCGCTTCTGGAGCCCCATGGCCGTGCGATGGCGGGATCAGGAGCCGTAAGAAGACTTGTTGGCAAGAGGGTTTGGCACCACGGCGAGCTCAGCAGGGTAAAGCGAGCTCGCTCATGATGAGTTGGTTTACTTGGCTTACTTCATGTGTCGAAGCATTATACTTTTGCACTGGCATCGAGGTTCTGAGCCCGCTCTTACTGCATGTTCAGCTGCTGACATGTCCAGCTTCTTGTGGAGGAATTGTGCGGTTTCCGATGGGCTATCCCCGTGTTTGTGCTACACATTGCGTCTCTGCCCTGACTTTAACGTGTTGCATTCCTGCAGTCCTGGAGCTTTGTGCTCTCGAGCTTCAGCGTCCGTAAGGTGCTTCAAGTCACAGCGCTCCCTTTAGGAGTGATGGGCAAATGTTTCCGAAACATCCTGGAGTCCAAACACCTGGTTGCTTACTACTCGTGCTTAAAACTGGCCAAGACCCTGAAGGAAGATAGACAATGACGTAGATTCGTGGTGGGCCATGACCCACAAGAGGAGCTCTGACTAAGCCGATCTCGGTTTTTAGGCACATGAAGTTGGACATTTTCTCACCATGAACACGCATCAGGTAATTATTTTCCTCCAAGTTATCCAGACCCCCTACCTGTTCCAGCAAATGTCGGCTTTGAGTCCATGTGCGTTTGCTGGACCTC